ATACTAGATATAAGAAAACAAAAAATAAAGCGAACACACAGAAAAAATATCCTTTTCATCGTAGACTTAAAGTGAACCGTTTGACGATGATATTCACCGGGAGAGCTAAAAGCATTCCTCGACGCGTGTATGTAGGTTAAAATCTGTTGATATACAGCACGCACGTGGACTTCCTTTCGACCGGGCCACGTAAGCTTGGCTTCCTGTTCTTTTTTGACGACGACCCCTCGGCTTCGCGTCTGAAACGATAAGAACCGAATGGTGGTGGGGCTAATGTGCGTACACACCACGGGATGTCTACCAATTTCCGGGTTCACCTAATGCACTTATCAACCGGCTAGAAAGGATCGGAGAGAAAGGCTGCGAGATGGGAAAATAATTGAGACGCGGAGACCGCGTTGGGGAGGATCGACGGAAGTCGGCAAAGCCTCGTGTAAACCGGAACGAATCATAAAAGCGTGGAGAAATTAATGAGAACGAGGCGATTTCAAAAGAGAAACGAATCGGGCGAAAAATTATCTTGACCCCGAAATACGTCGCGAGGAATACAACACGAAATCATCATGTGAAATGGACAACGATAAAAATGTTACGTCATTGATTGTTCGAACAAACGTGTTTTTAGCTTAACTGACTCCTTTTCATCTAACGACTGATCGAACAATTCCTACTTACGGTAAATAGTAATAGCGAACGTATCGTTGTTTCGTTTTCGTCGATTTAGACTCGCGCAATTATGCATGAATTCCATCGTAGCGCTAATCGCCTTCAAACTCACCGTGTAACATTAGAAACAACGCTGAAATATTCAGGCCGATTCATTAAGCTGAAGACAAAGTTAGCCGTGTTTAATAATTCCCCGTCATATTTAAATAACAGCCGTTCAGAACTTGCGAGCTTTCGACGTTACACGCTTTAACCTCAAGCGAGAGATAGATAGAGGGACAAATTGCGTCGAGACGCATCTCCAGTCTCAAAAATTGAATTTATTCGACATCGCTTCACTCTCAATTATGCACCAGGTAATTTCGACGCGACGCGTCTATCACGGTTCTCGATACTAACTTCGTAACACGAGGCTAACTTCCTCCGGCTTTTCTTTGGCAATTAAGAATCTTAATTTGAAATACGCGTGGTCTACGCTCTGTCGTAGGCCGCTCGCTGCGACCCCTAATCCAATAAGGAGCACCAAAGCACGAATTACCTACGAATCAACGAACCTACGAAATCTTGTCGCCGTAATTGGAAAGTATCCAGTGGCGATGACACCCCTAAACACGGGTCTACGAATCTTCTTGCGTTCCGGTGAAAGGATCTCGGAAATGAGCGCACCACCGAGTTTTTGACAACACTGATTTTATTTCTAACATCGTGAAAGATACCGTGGCCCTTACGTTTTGTTTGTAAGGCAAAGGTTTAACTATTTCACCGGGATATCTCTCGAAGAATATAGTTGTTTAGTAAGGTATAGGAAAAGATTCAAACTGCAAAAGATATAAGATAAACTGATACGAATACACTTATTACCCTATAGACCCACGTATTTTAAATTAGCCGATATGCTTTCCTTCGTTTCTTTGAATTCATAGAATGCTAGCGGTCCTAACCGTAGTAAATTAGACGAGAGAAATTTGTCAACGAGAGGAACACGTTTACACTTAAATTACTGAGCGCAAAGTTGCCAGTCAATGTGTTAACGCGTAACGAAATATAAATGCACATAGTTTATCTTTACATAGAGTCGGTTACAAACGATTCTCGGCATTGGAATTACAAGTACAGTTCAGCGTGCGATTAAATTATTCCGACTCGGTGAACGTTTCCACGATCCGGGGGATGGAAACGCTTATTTATTCGGTAAATCCGGGAACGAGCGACGGCGAGAATAAACGTCGCTGACAAAAACAGCGTGCCAGAGCGCGTGTACGCTTCGTGAAATTAAGTTACCACTGCCTCGTTATTCTCGTGAGACTCGAAATAAAGTGGTGGGGACATCCGCAAGGATTGAGTTACCGTCCACTTAATTGACCGCCCGCAGAAACGAGAAGAGGACACTGATTGACAGTGAGATGCAGCTGTCATCGAGGCCCGACCTCGAAGAAGGGTGTCCGCAAACGATTTAATTGGTCTTTAACAGCGAAATCCTAAAGCTCCATGATTCGGTTAGGAAAGAAGTAGGATAGAAAAAATAGAAAGAGAATGCAACTATCAATCAACGTGTCAATTTCTTTAGGATATCGTAACTGAATACTAACTGGACTGAAATCAATTTATCAGTAAAAGTTCTTTACAGAGGAAGATGCGATGAAAATCATGCAGAAACGACACTACTTAGAGATACATTTGACAATCATTCAGGCAATTCCAGGCAATATGGAAATCTACTTTAGGCATCATAAATGCAACGTGATACCATGATCCTCGTACTTGTACGAGGCAACCAATAACTCAGTCGATTCAGCGGCAACGTCATCATTCGCCGTCGTCGAATTTCTCGGATTACATAAACCCAAATAATCCCATGAGTCATTCTAATTCTGGTTCCATCGGGATTGCACCGTTTCCTTCCCCCAGTTTTCTGTGTCGCATCCGATCGTTCTTTTGCCTTCATTCGTGCATGTCCTAAACGTCGCCTCTTTCCTGCTCGACCGTCTACCGTATAAATAGCCATGGCACGTGTATCGTCTCGGACGCACACGATGGCCCACTTTTCCCCTTAGCCTCACTCGAAATTAGAGAACTTTGACGATCGCGCTTTTTCATTTTCCACCACACGGATAACCATCTCTCGTTCGCGCGGTTTTACACCCTCGATTTCTTGGTTTTATCGTTTCCAACGATTCCAGGACGTCTACAATAAGGAAAATGGCACTTTTCCTCGAAAATAAACAAGAATTACGTCATCAAGAGGCATGTTCGTTACAGAATATCTTAGAACCGACGATAGACGTGACGACAGTCGTTTTGTTCACATATAAAAGCACGGTTCAAAAATAAATATAGGGTCGGCATATAGGATACGGTAGTTTGGTACAGATAAGATCACAAAAAATTATACGGCCCAGGTGTAACATATTTATTGCTCTAATTGCAACGTAGTAGTAAGGTAACATTTTAACTTGGATATTCAACAAGGGAGCCAGTTCAGGAAGGACTGTAACGCGTTTCATAACGACAGCTGCACTCCCAGGTATATAAATAATGCAAATGGTTGAAAAGATCGTGGTAATCAAGTGCGCAATTATAAACGTACCACGGGATGATTTTGTTTTAACACGTTGACTGCCACGCGTGTTTTCAAGGAAATCTCCGTCAGGCCACGCGTACAGCAGTACCAAGCGTACAGCAGTACCAAGCGTTCTCTGCCGCGTACAGCAGTACCAAGCGTTCTCTGCTAGGTGCTCCCATCGATATTTTAGTAATGCGAATCACTCAAGTGGTGGTCTCAAGAATGATCTTTCGTTTCATTTGTTCGCAACATTAAAACCAGTAGCTGTTGTTGAATATAATGAAGGAAAGTGTGGTATAGATTATTCCGACCAAATGGTTTCTTATGCCACCACGATTAGAGAAGGAATCAAATGGTACAGAAAACTTGGTATTCAATTCTTTCTGGGAATTTTTGTTGTAAACGCTTTGACGGTTTACAAAATTGCAACAAGAAAAAAGATAAATATTAGAATATTTAGACAATTATTAGTTGCAAAATTATTAGGGTTGTCTGAAAATACAAAAAAGAATCAAGGATCAAGCGAAACATTAATTTTCGTCTTCTCGAATATCATTTAAAACAGCCTGCATATTTTTCATCATAAAAGAATCTCATTTACACAAAAGAAAATAAAATTTTCAAAGTTTGATGCCAAATAAAAATTCCAATGCCGAAAAATAAATAAACTGGTTGATATCTCGACACGGCACGTCACGTGAAAAGCATTCCATAGAGGTCCAATAGTTCTCCACGTTGAATACAACTGCGTTTCCAACCCGACACGAAGTTCCCTCATATCGCCACGTAATAATGGTGTCAGACAGATCTGATCTGACGGATCACATCCGCGAAACCGGCCGATTTCGCTGGTACCGCGATCGAGCTGTCGCTCGTCACCGACTTCCACCGTCCCAGATCTCTCGTTCACGATTCATTTTTACAGGACAACGACATCCAACGGCATGGTCGTCGACGTGCTTGTACACGGTCACAGAGGTAATGAGAATTGTTGCACTTCCACCGCGCGATTGTCATCCAGGACCGCACAAAGTTGAGGTGCCGCGAGATACGAAATACATTCTGTCGTTGGAAATTGAAAGGAGGACGAACATTTCGGAAAAATAATTCAATTTAAGCCGTGGTATGTTTTTAGTAATTTTCTAGACGTTATTCCTTTGAATCATTCTCGGCTTAATCGTGTGTTTGTATCGTTGAACAATTTCTTAAGTTCCTTCTCGTCTCGTCTCTTTTATGCTAAAATTTTTCTTAAAACATTGAAATATTTTTTATTTATTGAAACAAGAACAAGATCACGGCATAAAAAGATGGAAACATAGTAAGATTAAAACGTGTCTGAAAATAAAAGCATAAGAAGTAATTCTGTTAGTTAGCCTGCTTGCAGTAGATTGTACCGTTTATGGTCAGACAAGAATATTTTACTGGCTATAACCAGACGTGTTTTTTACTACTGATTCTTGCATTTCTATCGTATTTTTGATCATATAATTGATCTGTAGAAGCAAATATTATTACGTGAACTTTGATACAAAGCAAAATTTACTATTACGTACTTAGATAGAAAATCTTCTACTTAAATGATTACAATTTGTAATAACATTAAAATTACTGTAGCCACAAAACAATACAAACATCATAGAACATCGAAACAATATTTTCTCTAAAAATAGAGATCCTGAGGCTCTTTTACCGGAAGTTATACGTTCCTGGGTTCTCTTATCAGATCCATCTATGGGTATAAAGCAGCTAGTACGAACGTATACCCATTCAAATGACCAACGAGTATCGCGCAACGATGGTGAAACTACGTGTATCTCCTGTATTAATATTGTTCGCAATTTGCGGTGTCAACTTGGTGGAACCATTAGTAAAGGAAAGCTTGTCCAAATTTTTAGGGTCCTTGGCGGGCGTTAAACAGTACCTTTCTCCTTAATTGATTTATTTACGTCGATTCATTTGAATATCGCTAGTAAATAGGCATATATATGTATATTTATAATTATTGTCGCAGAGTGAGGATTCCGGAATTGTTAAACCAATTGTGCAATGAATCGCAAGGCTCAGATACAGTTCGTCGAGATGCGTGTTACGGATGCTTCTTCCGGGCCTCTAGTCAAACCGTTGGATATCCTTTATTGGTGGCAATGTCTAATTGTGCTTATATTTATCTCAATAATACCGATTATGGTCACTGTCAACAATACTTGAGCGTAAGTTTTTGAACGTAGCTTTATTTAGAGCGTAAAATTGATTAAACTTCTTGTACCTTTGTAATAGAACGCTACTGGTACAGCAAATTCAAGAACGAATCCTACGACGATATACTGCACGTTCCTCGAGTGCGTTCGACAAGTGAACAAGGATAATTTAGTGAGTAGATCGTTCAATTTCACCCTTGAGATGCTTTAGAATTTCTTTGCATGCTTTTGTACAGTAAACAATAAGACAACTGCACCTGGCTACTTCGGTTCGATAATTTATAAATTCTATTACTGCACATAAAAATATAAAAAGAAGCAATTGTAAACAGGAAGCACGAATCAAACTGAGAACGTCACCAAGCTTCAAGATGATTTCCAGACGAGTGCCATTATTTTATTTACAATTATACAAAAAATTATCGAAAGCTGTTTGCGTCATCCGAGAACAGAATTCAGATTCGAACACCGTGAGGCCTGGAGCGGAACCTATCGATCCGAGACAGCAAAAAATTAAATCACAAAAATTTATTATTTCAGAGCAATCAAATTGTACATAGAAACCTATAGTGAAAATTTTGTACATATCATCCGACTTTTCAAAACGTCTACACAACGAAATCTAGTAAGTAGACGTATCCAATTCTGTACATATGCGCATTACAATTTCATAATACGTGCATCCGCTTTATACAAGGATTGCATTCGGCTTTAAAGACCACTGCTGTAAATATAGCAACGCTTCAATTTCAATCCACGAAGAAGTCAAATTTTTCGCCAAAAAATTTGCAAAGAGACCTCGTTATCGCGAGAAATTGATCTCTAACAGATAACCACAAACGTTCTGCACAGCTCAGAGAATGCGTCGGCGAAGCCATACGAATGTTCCCCAATTTCAACCTCACAGATGTCAAACTAGCTCAATTATACGTGAATACCACTGCGTGTGTGCTGGCGAAAACTCGTTGCTCTCAAATGAACCCAATAACAGGGGAATTTCAAGAAGACGATCTCGCTAATAAGCTGCATATACCTACGGTCAATGCGTTGCTGGTCAACACGGATTACAACATGAACATCGTGCAGCTGCCATTTCATTCCACTTCTATCGACCTTTGCGCGAAATATAGGAACTACGAACAAGCCAGCTGGTCAAACGTCGTGTGCTGATCGAAAATTGTTCACCCAGCATGCTCCAGAAACTTGGTGCTACCGTGACCAATTTTAATTTACGATTAAAGAAATTTACCACGAACATTGTAATCCAATTCGATTGATAGGAACGAATAAAACGATAAAATAAATTTATATAGAAATAAAGAAATCATTCTGTTAGTATGTAAATCGCAGCTAACTATTTTCATAATTTATTAGCATGAACTTAGAGCGAGTAAAGTATGTATGTGACTCGCTAAAAGAGCCTTCTTGTGACGTTCGATCCAAGAATAGCTGCAAAAGAAAGGCTTCCTTGTTAAGAGTTTTATAGCTGACTTGGTCAAGTCTATAATTAGCATTTTCTGGAAGCCGGTCGTTTAATTTTTGCCTTTAAGTAATCATCCTTGAAACCAGTTCACTGTCAGAATTAATCACGCCTATGACGAAACCGACACAGCTCGCCATACATCTCGACCAACGTCTCGTGTCAAGGAATTTTTCTGACGACTTTAACGATTTCTACTTAGGCTTGTCGATAAACTGGATCGAAGCTAGATTTAAGTATCGGTTACCACGGTGCCATACACAACGGACACAGAACGGTCCGATGCAATTTCCATTTTATGAGTTAAGTTAATAACAGTTACACAGCGAGCCGCGATGACACGGAAAGATAGAGTATAATAGAGATTGAAAATGACACGAGTCATCTAAGTGCAAATCGTGGCAAACCGTGGCGGTTGTGAATCATCGCTTAAAACAACCGTCTAACAGGAATGCATAAATCTATCATCAACGATCTTGTATCCCCGTAAATTCCTTTCCTCTTTTTCTGCCGTAAGAAAAGCTCGACGGTGATTCTTGATGATTTCTGTCGCAAAGCCATTTCCATTAGCTTTCATCATCGATTATTATAGAACACTGATGAAACATACAAGGAACCGTGTCAATCGTAGAAAATTGTCTGCACAAATACACTTGACAAATATTATAGACAATTTTTGCGAATTAGAAATATTTTGAATTTTATTTCAAATTTTACCAATATAATCATTACAGTCGAGTCTCGTAACAGTGATAATAAAATTTCAAAACGTTTCGTATAACACACATAATACATTCATAAAAGGTACCTACAAGTGTTTGAATACTTTTGTGAACCTGTGTAGCTTCGTCCGTCGTTACGATTTCAGTCAACGGTCGTGCAAATTCGCAAACACGCCGGAGCAACGTTTCTTCAGGTTGTCGTCGAGTCTTTATTTACCTTTTCGCCAAAAGTGGCGGACCAGACGAAAGAGAGGTGCACTAGGCGAGCAAAAAATTCGGGAAAAGATTTTTCTCTTCGTTCGAATGAGCACCGACGAAGTTGTGGGTGTAGAGATTTAAAGCAAGCAGGAGCAACCGAATCGTCGCAACGAAAAATAGACACTTTCGAACAAATGTCGCTATCTTTCTGGTATCATGGCTAATGTAATCTCGAGAGAGTCGTAATAGCAACGAAAGAATGTACGAATAGCGGCGTAAATGGGCAAACGTATCCCAGTCGATTCATCGGCGCCGAGTACCAGATACGAACGCTAAAAGAACGTTTACGATATTACTTATCCCGTAAAGTGATCGTAACGAAGCGGCCAATAAACAACCTTACGACAAATTATATAGTAAAAGAACGAGAAACGACTATGTAAACTTGGATATATCCACTAGACTTGCACGAGCCAAGTTATCGCGGTTAAAGTTTTTTAGAGGTTTCCTACAATAGGTTCGATTTTTGCCAGAAGCATTCGTCAGAATTTGCATCCATTATCATCGTAGTATAACACGCAAAAAGAATATTCCTGCGTTATAAAATTCTCCTAAAAAAACAATCCTAATAATATTTCAATAGATTTGGACAGAGTAATCGACTGAATGAAACCGATATTTTGCAAACAGCGTCATTCACCGACAACGTTTAGCTCGTAGCGATATTTACATTTCCGTGCGCGACAGCCGCGTTATACTCGCCAACAAATATCCGGATATTCGACGGTAATCGGATATTAAAGAATCCGGGTATCATCGTCGGCTCAAAGGAAAGGGCTTAAAAGGAACAGCGCACGGACGTTTCCCTATCGCTTCTGTTTGCCAAGGTGAAACTCTCTGGTTAATTCTTTCGAGACAGGGAGAACACAGGGAGGACACAGTCGGAGAAATCGAGGGATCGATTCCGCGACATCGGTGTGCACTCATGTACTTATAAAAAGGGACGAGCAAAACGACGCCGAAAGAACGAGCAATGTGGAGAAGGAGGTGTGGTGGATGGAGAACGAAGAAAAGAAGCGACGAAGATGAAGGGAAGATCGGTCCATTGCACAGAAGCGACGCTCCACTTAGCATCTTCCTCGAAATAATTTGAAATATGCAAATACCATGGGTGCACACGCGCTCGCGTGTCGGCACACGAGTCTAGCCGTGTGCGTGCGCTGTACCGCGGCCGTGTTTGTGCACTCTGTGTGTATCACGAAAGAGAAGAGACCAAGATGCGAGGGAGAAGACAACGTATATTCCAGTGGCTTACGGTTCAGTTCTCTCGAAGCCAATCTAACTTAACATGCAGATGCAGTACGTGGAATCGTAGAGGCGACAGAGAGAGATTTCTGCTGAAGAGTTGGTGTCTGTCTCTCTATGAGTCATTCGTGGCGATAGTACCTTTTCCGTATGATCATTCACCGTTACTGCCTTTAATGTCTTCGCGATTCGAAGGGTTCTTTTAAGACAGGACGTGATTTTAATGAATAAACCATTCGACCGCCGACACGGACACGGATCGATAAAAATTACACGAACGAATCCTCGAGCCAGATCGTCGACTCGTGTTACTAGAGAAAGTAAAACGACCGGATCTTATTACGGAAAAATAAAAGAAAAATAAAAGAAAAGAAAAAGGAAGAAGCTGGCCGCTTTCCTCCCTGGAAAGGAACAAGACATATCATCCGATATTTCGCGAAATTCCTGAGCAGCAGCAATCGATCCAGACACGAGGCGAACTCACGGAAGTGCATCGTTGATTAAATTTACAAGACCGTGAGGTTCTACAGCCATAAGTAATATAATCTGATCTTGTAAAGAGGTCGGGGCTGACTACCCTCGCTGGATTCAGAAACACACTTGATACGTGCTGGCTTGATAAAGCGTGTACCTTCGAAATTAAAGAATCCTTTCTCATCCATCTTGCGCTTACCATGAAATTTCAAACCAGCTCTGATACGGAAACTTTAACATTCAACAAAAATCTTGTTATTTCTCAAATGTTGGATCAGTGGAATTATATTAAAAGCTTCGTTTCTTGCGTTTCTGCCTTTTAAAATTTGTATTTTCTTTACGATCGGAGAGATGAAACGCGTTACGAAGCAAGAAAGATCCCATAAGTTTCCGTACGGATACTGTAGCAATCTTTTCGGTATATTCTGGCTAAACCATTTTACAGACTGTTGCTGTACACACGCAGACAAGGAAACGTGACTCTCGTTTACGAGCGCAGTTCCAGCAGATTATAAATTTATATTGAGTCGTAAACTCTTTCGCGCGAGCTTTAACAAAGTGTCTATTTAATAAACAGGGGTTACTTTCCACGGTTGACCGGTAGAAATTCCATGCGCCGCATCCGCCGCCACGTAGAATATTCATTTTGGAAAGGTACACCAATAAACTGTACAAATAGCAATTCCATTACACGAACAAAGCTCTAACATCATCAACTAAAACCTCGCCGCGTAAGTACATTTCTCATCAGTCACACAAGATTAAGTTTGCGTGCGACGCGGAGGTGCGTGCTGCACCTACGCACCAGGAAGCCCGAGCATCGTTTCTTCCGCTGTTTCTGAAGATTATCTCAGACGATAGCATAACGGATGACCGTTCTATGAAATATCAACATCAAAAGAATCAACAATCATACGCGTTAAGATCTCTAAACTCAGGAATCTCCAAAAGAACTGTTTATATCAAAATGGCAATTATCTCGTATCAATTAATATCTTTCGAGGCAATCGTAGGACTAATTGGATGGCTAAACTACGTTTATCCTAAATTCTACATAACATCAAATCCTACCTATAAAGGTGTCATTACCATCCTTTGTTATAATATGTAATCCTTTGTTTCTCAACCATGCAACTCCTACGAACGTAACAATTTCGTTTATTATTTAAGATAACAAAGATACTTCGAGCGAACAAAGTTGACAAGACACCGTGTATAATAAAATTTTTGCTCCAAAAAGGAACGAAAGTTCCAAGCTCAAAGAAATTGTCACGATCTTGCAATTTTCTCATTTCGCGTTAAAAGTCCCATTGCAAGAGTAGTAGCGCCACCGCCACCCATTGCTATTTACTTTAAACTTCCGAATGCTGGAGCTTCCGGGCTGCTCGAAACCAAGTACACGCGTGGTAAACAAACTGGATCGGTTTACAGGGCAAAGCGAGGAAGAGCGTGAAGCAAGAAGAGGGCAGCGCGCCGCGTCGCGTCGTTTGCGCGTGAATCATGCGGGTCGCGATCGGCGTATGTTGCGCAAGCAACGAGAGCTTCATCGCGGGCTGCGGAGGCGTTGCATAAAGCGTGCCGCGGCGCTGAGCCGCGCGACAGCCGGCGGAAAACAAAAACAAGGAGACGAGTCAGCGCGTGGACACGTCATCGAGGCGCGGCACACGCGAAACCAGGACACGCTGCGTGCCTCTCTCGCCGTGATTCCATCTGGCCCGGTTTCTTACACCATCCTGGACATTCTCTCATCC